TGGCTTATTAAGTCTTTACATTCTACTTTGACGCAATCCCTTGCCAGCCAGCGTTTTAAAAAACTTTTTTTTTTTAATGTAACAATTTCTTAAACGTTAAATCGGACTTTAAAATCATAATAATGACTCATTTAATTCTAAAATTATTTACGAAATCGTTTGCTGAAAAAATGTCCTTCATTATAATACTTGTTTTAAAATAGAGAATGTTAAGTAGTCAGGTGATTACAATGTTGAAAAAATATAGCAGGAATTCAGACAAACGCAGTTCATTTCTTAAGGATAACAATCTTGAATTCAACGCATAATTATTTTTAAAAAATGTAATTTTTTTTATCAAAATAAAAAGTAGTTCTAAAAAATTAAAACGATTTTTAATCTGATAATCTGGTGTTTCACACACTTTCAATAAAGAGCACTTGCCCCCTTTTTTTAGTAACAAAATGAATTAAAAATTATACTTTGTTTTAAAGCATCACTAGTTTTCTTTTTAATTAATTTTAATTTATTAGTCACAAAAATGATGCGCCACTATGAATTGGCGTTGGTTGGTTGGTTTTGTTACTATAACTGGCAACACCGCGCCAGAGTAATAAAATAAAAAACTGTCTACTGTACACGGGATTTGAATTATTTCAATGAATATTCTCACAGTTTAAAAAAAGGTTCTGTTCCCACCTTGAGAAAATTTATGAGGCTGCCAATACTCTTATTTCTTTTAGAATGATTCTCAAATGCTCAGAAGTGCTAATATCTTGACGCGATGCCTTCAAAACTCAACAGATGTCGCGACGAAAGATTAAAGACCTACTACAGGATCTGAGTTTAGAGAAAAAACTGTACTGCAGAATATAAATTTAGAGAAAAAACTGAGGATAGAGAAAAAGTGAAGAAACTAAGTGTCAGATAATAGCGATAAAAAGTATCCCCGGAGAAGAAAAAAAATTAAACTGTCTCTAGTGAAGAGGAATAGTTTCTTATGTCTTTTTTTTCCCTACTTCCTTTCAAAAAGTTTTTTTTTCTTCTTACTTTTCTAAAACTTATCTTTTATCAAGTAGCATTCTCTAAGTCTAAGATAAGAGATGCTTCAAACCTTAAATTTATCCGTTTTTGTTGACAAAAGAATAAAAAAGTAAATATCTATCTGAAGAAAGTGCCGCGCCTATCTTGTAGTAAAACAGTATGGTTTAAAAATAAAGGTTGAAAACTTTTTCTAAAGGCAAAGGGGAAAGCGAATCACAGATCAGAAATTAAAAACCCGATTATTAAACAGATGAATTATAAAATATATTTTCAGTTTTTTAATAATATAGCTCATTTACCATTAATGAAATATGCTTATCATAATAAGCTGCATAAAGCAGTACTACTGTAGGATTACAACAAAAGTATAATAAAAGAACTTTACCTTTAGAACTTTAAAATAAAAGAACACTAAAGCCTTTAATTTTAAAAAAATAAATAAAGAATTACAACAGAGAATAACAATACATTGAAAAGGGATAATTAATACTGTTAAATAAGAGATAAATAAACAATTTATGTAATTATTTATTTATCCATCCTTTATTAACAAAATTAATGTTTGGAAATTTTAAACTTATTAAAATCATAGATATCAGGATCTTCTCTGTTTATTAATGATCATATCAGAGAATTTTTCGGTCCAAAGAAAATGCCCAAAATTGAAAGACGAAATTAATTTTTTTTATGACATATAGAGGCTCGAAATTAAAAATGATCTGTTGGTCAAGGACTACAAGAAAATCAGTGATCCCCCAGACCAGCAATCGAAGTAAAGGGGTGGTTATTTCTCCTTTTTACTTTCATTTTTGTGTTTTGGTCTGCTCTATTGTCAAAAATAGAATATTTCATCCTTATTTTGGACATAACACACTCTATGTATAGTAATTATTTTTTTAAAAATTCACCCATAAACTAAATTTTTTTTTTATTTTGTTAACTAACGTTTAAAAACTACTAGAGACATGTAAACAGACCAATAACAATATGCATGAATTACTAATGCTAATAACTTTTTAGTCATTGGTTCACAGAGCAGTGACAGAGTTTTATCAATTTCTACCTCGTGATAAAATAACTAAGAACTATGTTCAACACAAAGAATTAAAATGAAAGCCGACTATATGAAGGATGGGAATAAAAGACAACCTTAAAATCTAGAGTGCTGCACAAAAAATAGCACACCCATTAGATAATAATTTTCTGAAATATTTTAGAGAAATTCACATTTCTCTTGATACAGTTAGCATCAACAGGAAAAGTATCAGAACCCAGGGACAAATTTCTGAAAGAATTCTAATGGATGGAGAACCATATAAAGCTATGTACAGGTAGCTTAGAGCCACCTGCACTTAGTTAAGATTAAAATCTTAAGTTCAGGGTTACTACTTTCCAAATTAGTTTTATGTGTGTCATCCTTATTATACTTGTAACGTTTACAATATAACAAATTCTTTCCATGCAACTACAAATAAATTCGGATAAGGACAAACTTGAAATCAATTGATTAAAAATCAACTTGGACAACTTCACAACTATATTATAAAGCTATCCAAAAAATGATAAATGACAAAATTTTTGCAAGAATGTAACCAATTAAGGGATAACACTCAAAACAAGGCAATTCTTACGCTTTATTTATGTCAAGATATTAATTTTCTGAAATTAATTTAAGGTTATGACCTTCGAGAATTTATAAATTACAGAAAACTCTCATGAATGATAAAATTACACATGAACTAAACACAAATCACAGTAATAAAATCTAGAAAATCAAGCTCTTTCAAATGTCGGGATAAGTGGAGAGATATAATATTAGAATCCTTCGGTTTTTAGAATCTTGTAATTGCTTACATTCAGTTTCCCACCGATTAACAAATTTGGTCCTTAAATATATAGGTGTCTCTTTAAAGTAAAGTAATCTTGGATTGTACAGAGGGTGAAAGTGAGTGCTATACTCAATGTACAATACCTTGCATTAACATAGTCAACATTCAGTTTTCCACCCATAGACAGATTTAGTCCTGAAGTATATTATGAAAGTATTAAAAGGAGTCTCGCTTAATCTTGGATTGTACAAGAGTTCAAAATGGGTGCTATACTCAATATCAGTGCCGGATTACCCAATAGACCAGACTAGGCCATGGCCTGGGGCCCCCAGTGATTAGGGGCCCCCTTAAAATGGATATTTTGAAATTAAATTTTAAAAAATTAAGAAAAACAATGATTTTTTTAAAAACAAATCAATTTTAAATATATATTAATGAAATACGATAATTTGTTTTACATAATTTCAATCATATTGACATATTACTCAATTTATTTATTTTATTCAATTTAATTTATTATTATTTATTTTAATTTCAAATATGCTTTCTTAAATGAAAAGATATGTAAATACTTTCATATTTATATGAAATATATGAGAAATGATGAGAAATATATGAAAATATATGAGGAAAAAAAATTTAATCTAAGGGCCCCAAAAATTTGAATGGTCTTGGGCCCCGTGTACGCTTAATCCGACACTGCTCAATATACAATACCTGGGCATTAACATAATGGACATTCTGTTTTCCACCCATAGACAGATTTAGTTCTGAAATATATTATGAAAACTTTAAAAGAAGTCTCTCTATAGTTGAGTAATCTTGGATTGTAGAGATGATCAAACTGAGTTACTATACTCAATATACAATACCTGGCATTAACAAAATGAAAATAAAATAGTGTACTAAATGACAGTGGTTGACAAAAGGTATTCTGTTGCGAAAGGTTCTAGGGATTTCAGGAGTTATAACATTTTTTACTTACTAGTAATGATTTGTGAAACCTGAAATTATTTTTTGATCTAATCAATAATCCATTATTTTATTTATTATCTAGGTTTTTTTATCATCATTTTAAGTTTAGAGAAGAAAAAAAAAGAGAGCAAAATTAAAATAAATTAATAAAATTTAAAAAAAGATATGCATTTATAAAAAAAAATTTAAAAAAAATCGCTTTAGTATATATTTTACTGAGCTTTTTAATTCAAAATAAAATAACAGAAAATTGCTAACAAGCAGCTTTAGCCAGCACTGCCTAGCTAAAAAAGGCATGATCAAGATCTATCCCCTAGAAATCTAAAGATACATTCTAATACATGAGAATCTAATCATCAGATATTCAGATGCTCTATGTTTTTTAAAATTATTTAAATTTTTAGGAACATTTAGGTTGAACCAGGTTTGATACATGTTACAGATAACTTTACAAATAAAAGAGTTGACACCCTATAAGAGTTGAGACACCCTATATCATGGCACAACTTGTTACGAAATTTTAGCTCAAAAATATTTATTGAGCATTGACATAGACGAAGAAGAATAAAATGTAAAAATATGTGTTCTTATTTTTTGCCAAATATAAACGGCAGAAATAATAAATATTCACCATTGAAAAAGTACAGAATGCCTTCATATTTATGATTGCTAAAACAGTCTAATAAAAATTAAGTATTTTAATAATACTGCTTGTTAGAATGAAAATATGTGCAGTCATCATAAAAATAATACATTTCATATTAGAGCCAAAAAAATTTTTAAATCTAGTACACTTGTTCCTAATTTTAAAGTACATAAACAAATCTTATCTTAAATTCTCTTAAGCAATATTTGCATTACTAAAATTTATTGAAATAAATTACAATCACTAAAAAGAATTTCAAGCAAGTTTGCGATCGGATATTGGGGAAGGAGAAATTAATTATCACGTATAGAATTCATCATCAAATTTAATATTCCCGCTACGTCAACGGCGCAAACGCAAGACAATTTTTTCAGAAATCAACAAGTGGGACACTTTAAAACAAATTGTAAAAACTATAATATTTGATAAAACAATCTAATATAATTAGGTTGGTATATAAAATTGATGGAAGTGATTTGATTCAAAGAAGCCCTACAGGGATAAGGCGTTAAAATAATATAACTTACCGGTTGAAAATAATATCAAATGTAGTCACTCTAAATGGATAAACCAAAAATAAGCACAATAATACTCCAAAAGTAAAATCCAGATAAGTGTAAATAAAATCCCACAGAATAAACAGCAAAGTAAACAAATGGGAAAAAAATCCGTCCACAGAAAAAGCGTCTGCTTCTATTTCACTGTTGTTGCCGCGTTGGTAGATGAAAATCAACGATATTTTAATGAATGTGCCGCGAGGGAAAGTTGACCGTCGCGCCACGTGTGGAGTATGTCAAAAATGTTTGTGATTGAATGTAAGTGTGCTAGCACCATCTATCAGTGAAATTAGCAACTAAAGCGAAATTTCACAAACGATTTCTAAATTTGGGGGAACCTTTTCGGACCTGTCAAATTGTTAGGGTCAGGGCTTTTTTAGAAAAGTCAATTTTTTTTTAAATAGAATGAAACTGGACTAAACATTTTATCATAGTCAACCGTATAATTACAGTGAGATTTAGATTTCGCCCTATAAATTTAATAATACACTAAACACCGTAAAACTCTACAATAGCTCTCTCTGTTGAATCATCAACGGTTATAATTAGAGGACTTTAAGTGATGCGGAAATATTTTCAAATTGAGACGAAAAGGATAAGGAAATTTTAAAAATTATGCAGACAAAGAACAGATGAACTAGAGAACAACGACAACTTTTCGTTCAGAGTTCGACAACCACACTTTTTCCTTTTCCTACTTTTTGTAATTATGATTTTTCAATTATTACGGCAAGGATTTTAACTAAGCTACTTTATAACCATGTTTAAGATCACAGAATTATTAAAGTTGTTTAAAGTGATGTAAATTTAGTCCAGAATTCGAACATTCCTTTATAAACGTTGATTTTGTTTTATAAAAAAATTGACTATAGCAAAATACAGTTCTTTTGCTGTCAACTGAATTAGGCGATTGTCTGGGATAAGTTAAATATGTCCCTAGAATTTGGAAAAAAGGTTAAGCGCGGAAAAAACAAGTGAATCATGATAATTCGTATAATATATCGCCTCTGTGCACATTAACAGGGCACATGTTATATTTTTACTTTTCACTGTGTAAAACCATTTTTTTTTCTTTGGGACAGAGGTAGAATTATTGAAAGAAACCTAGCATAAGCAAGAAATGAAAAGAAGACCAACGATTGGTTTCATTTTCATGAAATATTTTTACATCTTGTATTAGTATAAGTTGAATTTTTACTGAGATTTTGAGAAGTATTTAGATAGCTTTGATCAGTTAGTTAGTTAGATGTCGGACGAAAATCCAAAGATTAGCGACTCTGAGACCGAGGAATTTAATTTAGAACTGGATGTGAGTAACTTTGCTCCAAACGAAGTAACTATCCATTCAGAAGGCAGGTAAAGAAACCTTTTTTTTTTGCTTATTATTAATCTTATTCGTCAGCTCAAATTCCATGTTTTTCAAAACTCTTTCGATAAGAAAAAGTCCCACACAGGACTGATCGTAAAGACCAAGCTCCCGGGGGTGGAACTCCGAAGTCAAGCATCACTGTCTGTGGTCAGTAAGTGGGTGGGTGATCACTTTGATCATCCTGTGTAGAGGCCGAGGGTGAGTTAATCGGTTTTCGTTAATCTGTTCTACCGTAAAGTGCTCGAATTCATTCTCAGCTAGTCGGAGTACCAAAGCAGGGTGGGCATCTGCTTTACAGATTATCAAAATTGTATTGGCTTGTCATTGAATCATTCTTCAGACTATCAAATATAAGCCATTCTGCAGCTCTAATGTGACGTAAATAAAATACCTACCTATAGTTTATCTGCTGTAAGAATTCCCCCTGCCTCAAAATCTAAGGCCGTCTGCTGTTATGGAAACAAGAAAAGTGCATTTCAGGGAGGGTAGCTTTTTAAGCCTAACACAGTAAACCGAAGAAAAATATTCCTTTTCTCTCGCTGGCCCGAGCCAAAACCTCTCCTAAGCAATAACCCCACACCCCTACTTGATATAGTTTTACCTCGCCACCATAGTCACCGCCACGGGTGCAGACGAATGGCTAGGGCATTTCTTACTTTAGACGAACTATACTTATATCGCCAATGGAAAAATATAATAGAAAATAATTTTTTAAAAAAAAACGGAATTTAAGTGCCGTACAAGCTGTAATTTAAAAATATACAGTTTTGCCGTTAAAAGTTATCTAACCTTACTTATCTAGTACAGGAATGACTTAAATATTTTAAAAGTCATCCAATTCTCTTTTAAAAGTTGTCACTGTGGCGAGATTTTTTCCATCCAGTGGAAAATAACTAAAATCCACGAATAATTCTCAATTTTCGCCACTTTTTATGAGCTCAGATAACGTAGCGTAGGAAAAAAATTTTTGAATGTTAAAAAATTAGATTCTATAGAAAGCGTAAGCATTGTGCGTCTCATTCGTATCATTTTTTGCCAGTTTGTCATTAGCAATTCTATAGAACGCGTAAACAGGGTGTGGAACATTAATCATTTCATTACTTTGCTAGTTTATCATACACCATTGTACATATCCTAATTCTTCAAAAGTTCTACAGAAAAGAAGGCGATGAGTTTTATTCTTTGTCGGTCTGTCATTAGCAATTCTGTAGAGGTAATGTGTAATGTATTAATCATTTCATACTTTGTCTGTAAGGCATACTAGGAAATGCCAGATTTCTTTCAATGACTGTTAAATTTTAATTACATTACAGATATTTAACAATTATTGCTGAAAGTCAGGAGAATTTGGAAGATAAAGAATACGTCTCCCGACATTTTATTCGTAAATACTTTTTGCCTGCGTTTGTGGATCTTGAAGCTATGACGACGGATAGAACATCTGACGGGATCTTAAAAATAAAAGCGCCATACAGAGCACAAGAAAAAAATTGAAGAAATCGGAGAATCAGAAAAGGACAGCGATCAAGAGTCTTAAAATAAAATGATTAAAAAATTTTTTAAACAAATAGTTATCTTTTTGTGTTGTAAAAATCTCTATAGTTTCATTTAAAGAAAATAATTAATCCACTTATTGTTTAGGATATTTACATCTATTTAAAAGTTGACCTATTTGTCCATTTTAATCAATTCCTTTTTTCGATGTATTTTGTAGACCAACATCATAACCAATGCAGTCCAAATTATATTAGGCCTTATATAATAATCTGTAATATGTGGCTCTAGATAATATGTGTCTCTCCATATAATGTATGGCCATTAATAGGTGATATTTTTCACAAATTAAGAGATCTGAGCAGCTAGATTCTAACAACGTCTAACTATACTACTATAACTATACTATAGTCAACTATACGCCTAACTATACTATTGTCAAAATCATATACATATAATTAGGCCTAATTTTAATGTAAATAACAGTCATGATGAAACTGTACCGGTGTACATTTTCACCGAAGAGATGTACCAGTGAAAATTGAAACTTTTACACAGCTGGTTCTGGGTACATGACAAAAATTTTGTTTGTTATTCGGCCGGTTCTGGGTACTTGGTAAAATTTGTATTTACTGTTCCACGGGTTGCGGGAACCCGGCGGCACGATTCCAAACCGTAATGTTCCCAATCCTTAAGACGGGGAATATGCAACTTTTTCCCTCTTTCTCGGGAATACGTGATTCTAAGCAATGACGTCAGAATAAAATAGGTTTGTGCGCATGTACCTCTTCTGGAAAAGTCGCAGTATGTTGATAAACAGCTTCGAAATGTGCGAAGCTGAAATCGCCATGCCTGAAACAACTATTTATGTCATTTTCATTAAACAAAAGAAGAGAATCTGCTAATTTCCTTGGTTGGAGTATCGAGACATTAATTTAATAAAGAGTTCGTGAGTGATGCTAGGTAAGTCTAATTTTCTTAAGAGTACCGATGGTTCTTTTCGCGCCTAACTGTGAAGTTTTAACGCTTTTACTTTTGTTAGTTTTTCCTTTAAAAACCTTTCACAGATAGATACTAAGTGAAATTACGTTCAATATGTAAATAAACAGTTATGATAGGTATGTTGAATTATTAAAAATATATGTTCTTAGTAGTTATAGCTTTGGCTCCGTTACGAATATTATATTAAGTTATAGAATTTTTTATTTATATTACTTTATAAATTTTTATTGAATTTGAATTGTACTGTTATTAAGTATCCTTCCATTAACAGTCATATGCATAATTCATGTCATTGAGCAGCTCTAATGCGACGTAAATAAAGTACCTATTAATTATTAATCTCTTCTTAACAAAATATCGTGCATGACTTTAGTTTTCGGCATTATTTTTTCTAATCAGTTAATAATATAAACAATTGTATCTATTAATTTAATTTTAGTTGCATGGAGAAAATTTTTTAATAAACAATACATTTCTAGTGACAAAATATATAACATCTTACATCAGGCACATCTTAGTTTTAAAACACCTTTCAATTTCACAATGTATAGAAATAGATAATTTAATATTTGTTGTTACTATTATTTTTTGTTTTGTTGCTACAGAAGGAATTATGGTACTTATGTATTTCAGGTGCAATAAATAA